AATGGCGGGGGAAAAGCCCTGAATCCCAGTCTTATGAAGAAGTATTAAAACGGGGATCGGTAGGTACCGAGAGTAGAACCCAAAATCGCTCGAATATTCAAGCAGGCTTCCAAAATCTTCGAGCGTACCAGGTCGATATTGAATTCTCTTTGGAAAATTGGCTCGATGTCGTCGACTAATTGGCTCCGTCATATTCAAGCCAACGGGGATCTTTCACGCTTCCCATAATCTCTGCTCCGCGGGCTGATTCGAGCCGGAAGCCCGACAAGATCCTGCCGGCACTCCGCGGATATACGACTGTATAGCTCGTGGGATAGCCACCGCATAACTCCCCGTGTGATCACCGAGAAGCGAATCGCCGTACTCGGCAGTCGAAAGAAAGGAACAAATGGGACTATACGAAAGCTCCTCCGGTGCGAAGGAGCTGCAGGGTACCAGTTTTTGTTAATCGTCAAAAGGATGGATTGTCGCGCGATGCCTACAGCAGGATTTCCCTCTATCAGTGGTGAGTCCCCTGCTGATTTATGGAGGAGACGGTCGCGATGAGCACGGAGGCGGATAAAATTGGGGCGTGGGTCTCCAATCTTGATGAGGCAAAGTTTCCCTTGAGCTTCAGGAATCTAGAAACTTCGCGGAGATCCTTGATCTCGCATGACGCAAACCGTGATTTTTGATGGTAGCCTTTACCTACCAAGCCGTCCAATGCGTCTCCCTAGCTGAGAGAGCAGGGAAATCAGGGGCGCCACGTGATTCATGAATCCGGGAGATTGTCGGGGAGAAGAAAATACTAAAGTAGGCTACTGCGGCAACGACCGCTGAGACATGCGATGTCGAATGATGGTTTCCCAGGAGTCAATTTACACCAGCAGTGCGTATATTCCATAACACCTGGACTAGAACCACGAAAATTTTCAACAGCGACTCGGACTAAAATCGTCTTCTATTTCGGATGACCCTGTCTTTCCACAGGCGGGAAACTCAAATGCCGGGAGAAGTCGACCTTCAGTGACTTCCTTAGGCAAACTCCTCAGCATGAGTCACTCGCTCCGCTGGCATTCAGATCTGATCTTTCTCTTTGAGAGAAAACGTTAGGCTAACTCCCTAACACAGAGAGAGGAGGAGGGCGACTATCAGGTTGGAGGGGAACGCGGTGGTTGGTTCTAGACGGATTCCTTCGGAATATTCCCTGTATCTGGTTCCGAGAACTGCTGTGAGTCGAGTCTCCCACACTTCACGACATCCCATCATTCTAGAGTGCACATGAAATGCAATTATCGTCCAGATTCTGCAATGGAACAAGCTGGCGCCATCTTTGCAGTCTGAGAGGGCGTCCGTCGGAAAAGCTGTAGCACCGACCTGAATCTGCCCTTCGACCCCTCGTCACGAAACTGGCGTTCGGAATAGGTGGTTGTTATTCCTCGAATTTTATCATCGTTTGGTCTCGACAGTTCTCCTTCTTATCTCATGCGCTCCCGCTTCATGCGATCTATTCCAGTCGATCTCGAAGCTTGGCTGCCGGCGATATGGAGGGCAATGACGACGATAAGGACGAATACGCCGCTAGCGGGGACACAGCCGGGACTTCGATCGTGCCCGTCGAAAATCTTGTCAGGTGGACTTAGAAGACCCGACAGATCACGGAGCTCAGATAAATGGTAATCTATTCTCCACGATTCCCGATTCCAGGGGAAGCCACCGTTGGATTGAGTAGATTAAGTGGTTTAACTCGTTGCCCGAATTCCAAGCCTGAACTCCATGCCTCGGGTCTTGGACTCCGAAAAGATTCCGGAGCTCTCCGAATCGTTCCTTAATGTTCATTTAGAGGTTTCTCTACTCGACGCTGTCTTCGGTATCTCGAAGAAAAACGGCGATAATAAATCCCGCTTCTGAGTGCGATGTCTCGGGGCTTGAATTTCGGAAATGACTCTCATGCTCGTGGAGGTCGAGCTCTCGTATGTTTCGCATCAACACTTGAGTTATGGTATAACTCTCCAGAGAGCTGAGTATGTCTCTGCAAAGTCCTCTCATTCGCTCCGGAGACTCCCCCGCAGATCTCAACGGTCCCTGTCGCCGTGAACGAGTTCACATGCGAACTCTTCTCACTCCGTAGCCAATGGGCCGCCTGGTTGGTAGGGATCCTCGACCATGATTAGACCAACACTATCCGCTCCCTCCCTTCAGGTTTCAGGTAAAGAGCCTTAGGTTTTTAGTGGGTATTATTTACATGAGCCCCACACTCCAATTGAATTTCCCACTCTTCTGGGTAGTGCGTCAATGCATTTTTTCCTATGGCTCTTTTACCTCTTCTCCCTACCTTCCCTTCAGTACCCCCAAGAATCTCGCCCATCTGGAATCTCCCTGGTTGCCCATGCGCAGAGCTCGATCCTACGCAAGTGTCTGGTAGGATAGTGAAAGCGTAGAGCAACCCTTGTTGTCACGTACCGGAACTAATGTCACCTGGAGGGCTGTGCCACGCCGTGAACTTTCGGCCAGAGAGTCCGGTTCTGGGGATTATTCATCTACCGTTCCAGGGGCGGAGCCGGGAATCATAACATCTGCGTAAATTGAACGTCGCCGTCGGTAGCGATCCAGTGAGTGCGTGATACGTTTCGCGCGTTGTTGACGTCTATGTCTCAAAACGGTCAACAGGGACGGAGAAGAAATTCGACGACCAGAGGGTCAAGTGAACACGTGAACACGTCTAGTTCGAGGGTCGCTCGCGAGCGCGAAATGAAATGAAAGCGAACAAGGAAGAGCACTGTCACCATTCCTTGGGATCTTCCCGTCTCATCTGCTGCGGAGGAGTCAAATCACGAATGATTCCTCGTTTCGAAGCTCGAGTAATCGAAGTACGTCGACATCAATCGTCGTGCTATGCGAGCCGCATAAGGGAATCCTCCTGAGCAAGTGCAGAGCTTGTGCTCTCATTCGTAGATATGTCGCCTCGTCCCTCCCGTCATCCACCTCAAAAAAATCATCATCCACGGCAAAACGTACTCTGGTGCGATATATACCCAATACCCAATGCTATTATACGGAGGGGGTGGGACCCTAGAGTTTCGCATGGTGATAGAATTCGACATCGATCCGCGACTCAGACTGCTCTTTGTCTCCATTCTCCTCCCGGTCACTCATACTGGCGGATAATTTTGACGTAGCCACGAGTGAAGTTTCAAACTCTATGCGACTCGATAACCTGGGATCCCACTCTGAAAACTGCCCGTTTATTGGCAAAGGAGCCTGTGGCGGCTCCTCTTCATGCGGCACTCCGATCCGGATAGCGCAAGTTGGCTGATTCACCTGGCAGTAATGACAGGAGGTAATCATTCTTCGAGGACCTCCATGAGACTGAGGCTTGAGCTATTGGGGTAGGATTCTTCCATAGGTGTCCATGCAATCATCCGATCCACCATTCATATCGGGTACAGTCCCAGAGGACACCCGGAGATTGGAATCAAAAATTAGGGGTATTCGAGCCACGGAGCTATGAACCATCCCAACTAATTTAAATTTCCCGACAACGAAATCATCCAGTAGAGGCTGTTTGAGATCGCAGGTCGCCTATGGACGGCCTTCTTTCGCCGGCGCTGATCGGGAGTGTTGCTTTAGGAGCGGTCGTATTGCATCGACAGAACCGCCTCGTCGGACGCGGACCCGATCAGCAAAAATTCCGACATTTAGTCCGTTATACCGTGAGCACATGCGCGCTTCTGTTGGTGCTGAACCTCCCGACGCAAGGACGTGATGCCTCAGACCTGCGAGGAGGAGCTGTTAGATCGAGAGAGCGGGACAGCAAAGCCGGACCATCCGAGCAAGGACCGTCGACACGAGCAGGCGAGTTGTCCGTATCCAAGTCGGAAGTCTTGGAGCCTACATTCTTGGTCAACTTTGACGGTTCCCGGCGACATATGACGATCGACGAAATTCGGGGGAAAATCAAGTCTTACCAGATCAGAGGCGGAGAGGAATCTGCTGAAGCCTGCGTGAGCCTGAAAGAGCTCAAGGAGATGCTGGCAAAAGTCTATAAGCGCCGCGAGGGTTTGAAATACGTAAACGAAAACGACCGAGTGACCCCCCTGTCGGAGGACATCAACGATATAATTGCCATCAAGCGACAGCTGGACGAAATCGAGCGAGACGAATCAGGACGATTGAAGCTTTTCAATCCTATCGAAGACGGCAAGATAGGTTTCTTCAACAAGGATGGGACGAAACGAATAGTACGAGACGATGTTGCCGAAAGACTTCGGAGATTCGATGCGATGATCACCGGCTCCGGTTTCACGCTAATTGACTCTGATACGCGAATTATCAGATGTCCGACTTTCGAAGACGTCGCCAGGGAGTATTACAAAGACAACATACTCTTGAAGAATCCGATCGACGGTAAATGGGTGATCGCGTCATCTAGATTGATTGATGTCTTGGAGGAGACAGCTGTGTCGCTTTTCATCGAGGAAGAAAACAAATGGGTCCACCCCACGCTGGAATTTCTCGAAGAGCTCGCGAGAAAGAAGGGGTAAGCCATAGCTCCGGTTTCTCGAGCGCGATTTGCGCGGGAAAAGCTTGCTAGTTGCGAGAGACCCCGACCGAGACTTATCATTCCACATCCCCGATCAGCGGGTTAGGGAAAACTTTCAGGAAGATCTGCTCGGGATGAGCCGGAACTCAAGAGTTGGCCCATGTTCGAAGGTCATGAGTTCATGCGCAAGATCCCGGAGTACGGATTCCCTTCAATCGATGCAGGGAAGTCTCGCATCGCTTTCCTGCTGAATTCGAGAGAGTCGAGGGTCTGCTGGTCAGAGTTCACGGATCGGCTCGTGGTTCAGAACTGCCTTGTTTACATCCTCTTTTCCCTCTCTTGTTTTGCAATTTCCCCCTCTGAGAATCCACCAGCAGATCGCTGAAAGCAGATCGACGGTCAATGTAGTTAACGATATTTTCTGATTAACCATCGGAACTTACCCTCGCTCGACGATCCATTTCGGGTGCCCTCGCCCCGGCGAAGGTTCAACGCGGTTCAGCTCCGGAGCTCTGCCACAGCGATGCTCTTCTCGCGTCCGATACTTATAAAACGGTAGGACCTTGATAGAAGAAAATTTGACGACTTTGCACGATGGGGAAGGGGGAGTCCAGCGCGAGATGATGCTGCAGTCTGCTTCTCGACGTAACATTCCTCTTTAAGCAGCGAGAGTCACCGCATCATTATTCATGACTCGACATCTCCTAGATATTCTCCTGAATATTCGACTCCATATTCTGAATCTTGCCGCCCGCCTTAGGTTCTACGGTTAATCGTGCGGATTTCTCTCGGGAGTGATTATCATACATCTCGCGTTCCTTCGTTCGGAAAAAGTCTTATTCGACTATCGGAGCCTCAGAAACTCATAACACGGGAACTCACCGATCTTGCCTTCCAGTTCAGGGGGGTCCCGAGCCGCTGCGGATAAGATAAGAGACGTTCGGAAAGGAGAAGAGAAATCAGCTGCCGATGAAAAGTGAACCCCCTTTAGAGTTCTGCTCCTATCCCACACTCCCTCTCTCTGCACCTCGCCGCCGTTCACCGAGTGATTCCATGAGTTCGATTCTATCATTGGTCTGAGTATGATTTTTCCTTTAGGCTGAGCACTCCGAAGGCCAGGTTTGGGCGTCTGAAGAAGTGAGTATTTTAGTCTCGCCCTGAGAAAAAACTCTTATAGTTTGTGATATTGTATGTGTAGTTTTGTGAATCTCTCAAAGGAAACCGAATAATCCTTCAACGAAATAGGAAATTCCGTCCCCGTACGCCGAGCCCACCCAGATATAAGTCAACCAGGGTCGCCCAGGGAGCAAAGTCGATTAAGCCACGCAAGCTTTTTGATGAAAGGTGAGAAATTCCCCTGCTAGTCATGACGACCTGACGAGCCCACGAATGGTCACTTCGATTCCCCCAAATAATATATTGATATCGTTTTCAATTTCGAACAGCTCCGGGGAGGAGAGTGGATCTGCGAACGATGGCGAGGGGTAAGAGTCATCTCCGATACTCAGTAATTGCTTGTATTTCCAAAGTTGCATAGCCGGCTATCGGAAATCCTCCGTCAAACTTCGGGGACCCGAGGATTTCTATACGATAATGAACTTTTCCCAAAGCAAGTCACCTGGAAAACCCCGGGCCGAAACCGTGGGACATCGCGAACGAGAACCGTGAGTGAACCCGAGAATTTACCACCGAAACGAATTTGCGAAATAAATGTAACAGTGCATGCCACTCACCGAAATTTTTGCGAGTGAACATAGATACTTATGTCTCGAAATCTCCAGAGGTCAGACGCCGCCGACGCCGATATCGAGAACGGGGCCGAGCGGTTTGGGAACGTGAGTTTTGGATCTGCCACCGAATTGCGACCGGTCGGGGGAACTTTCAATAAAATGGAGTTCAATCGTCCTCCTCTTTATTGTCGAGCTCACCGCTCTGCTTTTCATCCCGACGTATCTCTCTTCCAAGAGACCAGACGCCGCCGACGAGGCCCGAGTCATCACGTCAGAGGACGGTGACTCCCGATCTGCCGGAGCCCAGCAGTCAGGCACAGTGAGCTCCCCATTCCTTCCGTAGACTTGACACGCTTCCTCTGAGCATTCCACGACGAATCATCCCGAGATCAATACGAAGCCCTTTAGACGTATTTACCTCGTGGGATTGTTTTATACCTAAGGGAAGATCACCTTTCGGCGAGGAATGGGTCGGTCATTCCCACCGTAGGATTACGCTAATCTCGTTATTCGACATAACGGAAAAGAATCTTTCGAACTATCTCTGCAGAGCTCATCAGCCGACGGTTCGACCAGAAGCGTCTGCCTCGAGCCCTGGCTCCGCACAGCCTTTGGCCTTACCTCATCATATCGAGGAGTGAGTTTTCAGCATCCCTGGGCGATACATTGAGTTATTAACGACCAAAGCACTATTTCTTTCGGTAGCGAGTAAGAAAGTTCACCGCGATGTGGAGCTCGAGGATGCATACAATCATCTTCGATTCAAAAGTCGTTCTTCTGCATAAGACCCCTTCCTGAGCCTTCATGGGACTGGCTGCTAAGCATTCGACAGGAAGATGCAAACGAGTATCCCTACTAAAGAATTATTTTTCCTCCAGCATTACGGATAGAGTAAGAAGGGTAGAACTGGCAGAACAGTCCAGAGCAGGAACGATCCCGGAACGGAGGTGCGTTCTGGATTCTGAATATCTTTGAGTGCGTTGATGTCGACTGTTCCGAGAGGGATCCTGCCCATATTCCTCGAGGTTCTGCATACAGGAAGTGAACGGAGCTCGGACTTGTCCGCCTGCTTCCGACTTACATGTCTTCGACGGAACTCCTCAACTCATGTGTCAACGCCGTATCCGAGATCGGGAAAAACGTCGCACATGCTCGCAAGGCTTGACTTCCGTACAAACGTTAGAAAAGTTTTATAGCGCAACCGGGAGAGAAGTCGTTTGGAGGACGCGTTGGCAGAGAAACTTTTCTGGCGAAGTCCTAGCTAGCACGAGTTAGAAGCCTGCGACCGGATCCGTGATCACAAACAAGCTGTTTTTTTCCTCCTCAGCCAAGCAACACCGGCGACGGGGACGAAGAAGAAAGCGGGCGAGCCAGGGGATCTGGCGAGGACGGGCGTGACGTTCCGAGATATCTTACTCAATCGGCTGATCGGACCCTTCAGGAACAATCCTTGAACGACTGTTTCGTTGGTATTCTTGAGAGACATATGAATAAACAAACGAGTCTTCTAAAGCATCGCCCCGATGTTGGTCGGCTGAGGGATGCTCCAAGCTCATGATTCCACGGAGGTCTCGGGGGTGAATCTCAGCTCTTTACCGAGACGAAGACACGACCACATTCTCGAATGATGGCGAGAACCTCATCGAGACGGGAAGCTATCCTCGCTCAGGGTGTGGACTTCCTGAATTACTGAGAATTTCTCAGAGAATACCCCGCTCCTCAAGAATAGTGTCTAGGAATATTTCCCGAGTATGACCGCTCCAAAATCACAGAACTGAGACGATACATTAATATTAGACTGAGAAGAAGCTTCAAGTCACAGGGCGCCTGTATTATAATTAGCCAGTACAAATCATATATTTCTTAATGAAATGGCTCGAGCAGATCCGAAAAATGAGTTCGCTATCGACACGTGGCTGTGGAGCGAAAATCAAATTTATACATGAGCGATCCAGACGGCGGCTCATTCTTCTCTCCGACTCAGAGCCTTGCGTTGGTCGCAAGGGAAAATTCTCGAACAGGACAACGATGTATAAAACAACTGAACAAAATTGTACACGGGTACATGATACATGTACTCAGCGGAATTTCGGAAAGAAACGATTCGAAAGCTTGTTCCTAAAGCAATATTTCCCAGATGATTGAGAGCCGAGACGTTCTGACTAGTTCTCGTAGTGGTCTCCTACGGTACCCGGCGATGCCTGGGGTCAATCGGACTCTTCATCGAGATTGTTTCGCAGATTCGTTCTCACGTCTGTTTGGTATTCAATTGAAGTCTAGAGAATCATCTCCAACCTGACTCCACGATGGAAAGGAGTCTAGTCGGTGCAGATCATCGCTGAGAGTTCAGAGCTATCCGAGGAATAGATCCTACTCCCAGCTTCTGCTCCTCTGCCTCGCACTCCCTCGCGGCAGATAGTGGCGTATCAGATTTAGTTCTCAGGCGACAGAATCGGCAGGATCTCGCGCCTTAGAATTCATGATCCAATCACCAATCCAATCAATTCACCCCGGGGATACAACCGCGGCAAGAGTTCTCTGCTAACTATTGAAAATTCATTTACAGGGACGTTGATAAATTACTAGCGCCGGACACGTGTCCGGTTTGTTGATGGCAGCTCGCTCGCGGAGACCTGACTTAAAGTACACAGTGCACGATGCACTCCCACCGGGATCCTCCTGTCCATCCCGATCAGAGGAGATTCGGTTCCTCGCCAGTCTTGGTCCACGTGACGCTCGAATTCACATACAAAACTGTGCCGTAGCCATCTTAGTTTCCAATTCCTGGGGAAGAAGCGTATAAACAATAATTCCAGGAGAAATGAGCCTCGCGAGAGGAAATATACTTCCGGGTCATGATTTATCCTATCTGGCTGACTGGGGGAATTCCAGGAGGACGCCCCGGATCCCGACCGCATGGCGGCAAACCTACCCCGACCCTCTTGAGGAGGTCGTTGACGATATTGAGAGCGTTGCTTCTGCTGTGCGGGTTGATTTGCTTTCGGATTTGGTGAGGCCCTGCGACTCCCGATAGTTGGGGAAGGGAACTGGGTTGCTGATTGGACTCTCTGTACTGATTGGGATCCTTTCGTGGAGTTCCGAGTACATCCTCCGCAGAACCACGATGGGAGGAATCCAGAAGTGATCTGTAGAGAGGTCACGAAACACACAGACATTGAACCAAAGTGAAGTCCCATGACACATCACACTAAGAATAGTTTGTGCTGGAGGCCATTCGAAACGCCGTAAGTATCAAGGAAGCGAGGATCGTATTCATGCAGGTTTGCTCATCGCAGTTTAATTGATAGTCTGCCGTAGATAAACCCCGGATGAGAAACAGGCTGACGGAACCGTATTACGAGGACACAACAGGCTGAAGGGGACTATAGGACAAACGACCGTCCGTGCCACACCGGTCTGACAGACGAAGGTGTATCGGCGAACCTCCACGAGATGAATGATCGAAGATGGCGAACTCAGGAAATGAGGTGGGGCAATACACGAGCTCCAGGATTGTTAACAGGACACACCGACTTGTGAGATGAGGAGCTGCGAAATGGTTCCGGAGTGCAATTGGTGAACCACCCTCACCTCAGAAAGAACTAGATCAAATGTTCCGACTCACGTTGCAGCACGTCAATGATGTCTTGCTGCTAAATGAACATAATTAAAAAATCAATGCCAGCCAATGACCGGGAAAAAAACAAAAGTAAAAAAATCTTTGGAACGATAACCGAGAAAATCATCGAGTAAATCCGCGACCATGCGGATCGGTCTCGTGCGGTGCTGACTGGAAACTCTTCTTCTCTTCCATCCCTGCCGCAAAACAGGATTCTCGCATTCTCGCCGATCGAGAAACTACGACAATTCTTTTTAGGACGAAATTCAGTGCTGATTCTACTCTAGTGGCAATTTTTGTTCTCTATGCTTCTAGCCCAGGAGATTCGAGGGGAAACGCTTCTCAGAGCAGGGGACTCCTCTTGTGGATATCACGAAAGATAGTGGTGGGACGTCCTGCACTCACTTTTTCCGCTGCAGTCCTGTTGATAGGCTTCCGTTGACAGCGTTGGTTATCGAAGATGGTCTCTCCTGACGGGTTCTGACAGCCAACTCTCTTTTAAGGTCACTCGTTTCTTCTTTGAGTCGTTGCACCATGCACGAAAGCTCCTCCTTCTCGTCCAACTCATTTTCTAGGAACGCGTTACGTTCCAAAGCTTGATTCACACTGTAAATGTCGAGCCAAACTTCATTATTATGATTACATCTGACGGGAGCGAGAACGTGTATGCGTCTTTAAGAATCGATATTGGAACCTCTCTCCGATTAGATCGTTAGGTAGTATTTCGTCAACAACATTAATGTCCTCCTCAAGCCGGCTCCGGGAAGAAATCGGGAAAAGCGATGGATGGGAGCATATGTCGTCGGATACTGATGCAGGTATTTCAACTCAATGTCGACTGCGGGAATGCTCGCTCTTGTTTGCTCTCGGAAAATGACGCATACGGACGCCCAATGCGAGCGAATCGCTTGTTTTCCACGGATCGGGAGGCCTCGGACACAAAGAAGTTCCGGCACGCCTGTCTACCTGCTTGTCTGCCAACCTTATGTCAAGAACAATGTCCATATTCGAATGTTTAACACAACTGACTGATTCAGTGATCCGTTGACCGTCCGACCGAGTGAACTGCGAAGCGACTCACTAAGCTGCCTCGGTTCGGAAGCGACTTGTGGATAGACGTAATTCTCCACTTGGAAAAAAGAGTCGAGCTTCCTACGCATCAACTCTATACGTTTCGAGAAATTCTCGAAAACAAATGCGTCGCTCAGTGCGACGCCACCACAAGCACGGGGAGTCCTTCCGAATTCAAATCAAACGCAGTTCCGAATGCTCGGCGACGGAAAATTCAATCCGAACGCCAAATGTCCAATCCTTAGCTACTCCTTGGCGTACCGGGAGCTCCTCATATTTCTTGAGGCATTTGCTAATGCAATCGTATCTGTATATCAGATCTGTTCTTACTTTTTCTCAAACTCTTCGAGCGAGGCGGCCAGCGCCCTTTTCGCTCTCTCGAGGTCGTCGTTATTCTGCTCGAGCTCCCGAATTTGGTGACTCAGCCTCTCATTCAGATCCCGTTCTTCTAAAAGTTCTTTCTCTAAAGTCTCCAGCTGAAAACGACGCAAAGCAGCATGGTCAGAGGAAGGTCAATGGTGAAAATTTTCGGAGAAATGAACTTCCCGATGGAAGAATTCCCTACGACTTTGCGAATGCATTCGAACAATGAGTCCGTGATCGTGGGTCTATGGAGTCATGAAAAAATCGCACCTGATCTTTGAGCTCATTCGTTCCGAAGGCCAGCTTCTCCGCGTAGACATCCCGTTCCGTCTGAGCTTTCTGGAGATTTCTCTTAAGTTCTACATTTTCCTTCTCGAGTTGTGTCAATTGAGTTTCCATCTCTTGCTCGAGCTCCTGTAACGGGGAATGATTCGCGACGGGCTCACGATCAAGAGCAAACAGAAAATCTAATAGCTAACACCTGCTCTGTCGGGGAAACACATGTTCGATTCAGGGAAGATGCCTCGATCCAAGAGGCCACATTCGATCGGGCAACCTGAGGAGCGTCGCGTGCGATGCATTCGACGTAATACTTACCCGAGAATCATGCTGGAACTCGTCGAACTCTTGCTGCGTTTCTAGATACCGACTTTTATAGTATTCCATCTCCTCCTGGATGCTGGAAAATTTCCGATCCGCCATCTTGACCTGCTCTGAAAGTCACCACAGATCGGTTTTTATGAATTCATGGGAGTCCTCAGAGGAGCGACTAGAAGATGCACTCAGCTCCGGCTCAGTGACCGCCGATCTGATTTTTCTCGAAAATTCTTCCTGCCCAGAATAAAGAGGGCAGATCGGAGAGATCTGGAGCGTACGGAGTCGACGGGGAAATCGATGTTCTCGAATAAAACAGTCCGTCGAAGAGATCTTCGGATGCGTGGAACATTGCTCTAGACTTCTATGACTTTCTTTCATATTGAACAAGGAGTCGGACTAACGAAAAAAAGTAGGTCCGCCGAGGGGTCGTTCGCTGAATCGTTTTATTACGAAATTCAATCGGAGCCATAGAGGATTTCAACGCCCAGCACGAGCATCAGATTGATTTGGTCAGCGTTCAAGTTCATGATCTGAAACAGATCTTTGTAGCGCTCCGGGTTCGACATAAAAATGATGGTAAGCACTGTCGTAAGCATCTACAGAAGGCCGCGGATCATGTGTTGGATTGCAGCCAGCATGAAAACTCCGTAAAAGGCTTGGGGAAAGTCAGAATCATCCGGCAGTCTGCCATCAGCTCATCCGTCGGAGCGGATGCGCGACGAAGCAATGGATCTCGGTATGAGTCGCATCCGTGGGCTTTCGTTGCGTCTTTTTGAATACTCCGGAGCAACTTGTAGGTTAAGATGATCTTCCAGCGGAGATGAAGTATCTTGCAGCGTACGAACGGAGAAATCACTGTGTCAAAAGTCGTCATTAGGTTCTCCGCACCCAACGAATAATACGATCGAGGCTCTCACTGCCTGCCTACACTGCCGTTGCGTTTCTGATCGGAGGGATCAGATTGAGCACTTTACCCGAAGTATACAGTGAGCTTCTAGGCGGCTGAATCATTTACTGAAGCGTCCCTTATTCAGTACAAAAACGTGTATTTCAATCTTCGACGAGATTGCTACGCAGTTTATCGGCATCACATGCTTGTGGATTGGAATCGCAAGAAAGCCCACAAGTGCGCCGCCAAGTCTCCGATATCAGATCCTGTGACCGATGAACAAACATTCACAGCTATGAATCAAATTCGCTTCGCGGGACAAAAGCGAGGAAGATCGGCGAGTCGGGTTATTCGGAAATAAGAGGGAACGTGCATCGATTTTCCTCCAATTAGCGGGACAGCTCGGTAGGAAGTCAGCCGCGACTTTTCTCCGAGAAGAATGTAGCCGAGAAGTGGCACAGAGTCGATAGGAGGGTCGCTCTGCTGATTATGGAGGTAAGGCCGAAGGCGGTATTTGTAGCGCTCAAACGATCCGCGATCCACCGGGTCAAAACCTCGGACGGTTAGAATGAGCCGCAAACAATTGTCCGGGGTGACACAGCGATACGCTTCCGGTCACGACACTGAGATCGGCTCCGATAGCAGACCGAGCAATCTCACGAAATCCCGCTCCAGCGTCTGACCCGATCCGCCAGCCAAAATGAATCTTTCTCCCGCTCCGTGGCCTGCTCTCGATGCGATGAGCTCCTCCGCAATATGGAGACAACATGAAAAATCAGAATCACACGGAAAATGATTCGCGATATACGGAAGCTTCCGGGGAGCGCAGACTGAGCGGAGGAAGAAAAGAATACGATTTTTCGAGACGAGGATTCGAATCTGTTCCTGCATCATATGGGATCCCGAGCGCAACTCACAGAAAAGTTCAATCATCGTGAGGCGCCGAGCGATTTGACTCCCGACAGTAAGCGGGCGCCAAACCGGAGAAACTAGCACATTTTTCTCGTCAGAGAATAATGAGAATAATGCCTTACTTTTGTCTTGGAAGAGAGAAGCTTTCAACTTTCATTATATTTTCGGAAAGCGCTCGGTCTCGATGCAAGAGCCGGCGTGTCACTGAGGTTGAGCCGAAATCATCGCTTTGCCGGCCATCGATCGGAGTAATTCATCAATTATAATGCTTGACATTTGTGCTTTGTTGAGATGTTGCGGCTTCGAAATGTTCCATGACGAGAAGTTCGACCAAGTCTAAAAGCCGAGCACGCAACGATACGCATCACTGACCAGCCCAGATATCACCCGTTATGAGAACGGAGCAACCTACTAGCCAACCAGTCAGCTACACACTTCGCCAGTTCATCCAACGGACAAATACTAGAGGGATGCATGGGTGGAACAATTGCTATGTCCCGCAATTCTAGCGTTCTCAGAACGGAGCCTGAGTCGGCAAGATGAACGATTCCTGCTATCAGCTCCAGAGCCGCTCGCTCCGAAGCCTTCGACACGATTCGTCGTGACTCGTGACAAAAAAATACGAAAAGATCACCCTAAATGCCCGGTCCTAGGATCAGACTCCCTTCCGAGGCCGAGACTCGAGCGTAAAAGAGAATCACCCGGCATGGATTGAAAGTAGCGGATTCGGTAAATTCCTAATCGGGTGAGGTAAAACCTCTTACTCGAAAACCTTCCACTCAACCAATTCTTCTCCACTATTGACTTGTTTCTTTCCCCGGGGAGGGGGGGGAGCTGCTAAGAGATAAAAAAAAGAAGGATCGTCCTATCTGCATCATTCGAAAGCAATGGACCAATTCGACTCCTGCGACCATCACCATGGGCGAACGGCTCCAAAGGTTTCTAGACGCAATGCCGAGAAAATTAATGTGTCCAGAAGTCGCGATCGTGAAGTTCACGCGCTGGGTTCACAGCTGTCCGGCAGAACATTTATCCCTTGGAATTCCATTCAGACCGAAATGAGAGCGATTCTTGCCGACCTCTCGGACAGTCAGCTGTTCGAAGCTGTCATTCTCACAGAGAAGAACAGAGAGGTTAACATTCCGATAATTCGCTAGACACTGGACAGTAGGGCATTCGATCGACAATTGTAAGACCGCAACTCATGCCTCAGCCTCGAGGGAAAATATTGCTGAAGTCTTCAATTTCCTTGAACTCCCGTCGCCCTCCCGGAGAAGTTCCTCGATCTCTCTGCATCTCATTCCGCCGTCCGGCCCTCTTCCATTTCGAAAGTCGCCCTTGAAAATGGATTCCACTTGTCATCTCCTCGGTGATTCCACGTGATCCTCATTGCCCGTGCATGCGACAACCATTTGATCGAACAAGAGCGTTGTCAAAACACGAGTGGTTCTCTAGGCGATGTCCCGCACGAATAAAACAACTCCCGAACTCCGTGGTCTACTCTCAAGCAGATGACTCGTCGATCTCCATCAGAACTCGATCGATTTTCAAAATTTTTCGGGATCGAGTGGAATTTTCCCCGCGGCCTCCCATTGTATCCCGTCCTCCGACTTCCACGATTTCTAACTCACCGAGCCTTCAGCTCTTAGGCTCAATCGGAGCTGAAATTCCGTGCGAGCAGCCTTCACTGAATAGTTGACTGCTCGGTAGAGAAACACAATCACCTGCTTCTCTTCTTCCACAGACTGTCTGACTGACGGACGAACCGTTCTGCTCCGGTGTCTGTGAGCTTGGTGATGGTAAGGCTCCTGCCGCCGCCGCCGCGGTAACTGCTGCTGTTACGGTTTTGGAGAGAGGATGACGACGATGAGCTGCAGCTGACGAATGTTTACGGTGCTGATGGCGATGATCTTTGCTCGAAAAGACGGAGACTCTCGGACATTCACTAATCCTCTGCGAGCGTTTGCAGGGAAGACGCGGGATAATAGGACTCATCTTAGAGGGAATGGCCTGACGGACGGTTTCCGTCATACTTTTTCCCATTGCGCTCCAATTCTCTGAGAAATCGGGCAGACAGTGTCGACTCGAGGAGGACCGCAGGTACGCACATATCGGGAGATATCGTCCCCCGATTCGGGTTTGTCCTCCGCTTCTTCCAAATACCGAAGCCATACTTCCGACGTTCATTCTATTGCTCCACGTGCGGTCGAACGATCATTCGGAACACATCAATCATGGAGTACAAAAATTTTCGCGGCTCGCGGCTCAAATGCCTTCAGTCCCGGACTCTTTCGGTCGACTGGAATTCGCGATCTCGGAGTCCAGGAATCGCGGATCTAGATCTTCGGAAACTCGACAATATCATCGGAATTCTCAAGTCTGTTGACGGGTATGAGACTCGTTTCTGGAAACGCTCGACATCTCAGGATCAGATTGTCATCATTGACATCTCAGGACGATGAGGGGACGCAAACAATAGACCTTCCCGTCATTCGGTCGGATAACGAGTCCCCGAAATGAGCTCCCCTTATTGGTCCTGTTCGGGCCCCGACCTGACGGCTTGATGTTTGACGTCGCCAATATTCAAATCACGAAATTGAGCGTCCGGACGTGCATCCCTCTCGTGATCCAAACTACGCCCCGATCATATCATCGTAGATTCCAGATAGGTGCTGGAAAGGACAAAGGAGAGCCGGCGCACCAAAGAATCGCTCAGAGGACCTCAAACCGAAACGACGGGACATGCCTGCGATAATAGAAGCTGGAACACCAGGCTGGATTGGCAGGACACGAGAGAATCGACCAGGCTAGATTCGGCCCGTGGGCCTCCTTGAGATATAGAGCTCCAATTGCTTGAATGGCGTTTTATTGACGATGCTGCGCTAAACTATCGGAGCTTCACTGGATCTCCAGTAAGAGCTCCGACGACTACACTAGAACGAGTTGTAATGATTCCTCACGGGTCTTGGCTTCAAATTCTATCGAAAAAGAGGATGGGATGCGCGCATAGGGCATTGCCATAATTTCACGTCGAGAAGGCTTCGACATATAGTGTGGCTATCTCTCTAGATTCTCGTCGATTCCGCCGCTGTGTATGGTTCGATATTGTTGAGTAATGGAGCGACGAGTGGACTATTCCGCGTGGTCGCGGGGTATGTGTTGACACATGGTATTAGAGAGACATTATTGAGAGATGTTTCGCTCGTGAGTTCTTGCTTAGCATGAACAAGCTTTGGCCTTCACCGTTGCCATCCTATCACTAACGTACCAATGATAATCATGATATTGAAATATTCGACGCGGACATATTTTCTCTCACTTATATGGTAGTAATTGATCTCGAGCATATTTCCTGCAGCTACGATTGGTAATTGTCTCTCCGATAACCTCTCAAGTGCTTGCTGCCCTCTCACTACTGGTATAGTATAGTTTTGTCATGCTCTATCAGCTTTCGGCAGCACTAATCTCCAGTCCTTCTCTTTGGATAATGCACGCAAATGCCTTCATAATCTTCATCTCAATCCTTACCCGCCCCGTTTGGAGCCTCTCCAGATCGGAGCAGCCGAAACCTCCGACTCGCGAAAAATGAGCAATCGCTGGCGCGAGCTCAAGTTTTCTCCAGCTCGATGTCGGGCTGCATTCAGTCTCATTTTCTATCAAGCTCCAGTTCTTGCTCTCGGTCAGAGCAGCTTGGTGAAGTGTCTTCCTCTCTGAGGGGGTACAAGATGTTCGTTGTAGGCATACCCTCCCAATTGCCTGGGAACCGATCCCCGTCTGACCGATTACACTGCATCGAGAGCGGCATCTGAGCGTAGAATTCTTTCAGCAACTCGGTGTTGTACGGACTCCATTCGATGGACTTGTAGTTGTCGCTGATGCCGTACCGCCGCGATGTTTTCTCATGATGAGCTCTGTGAATATTCTCGGAGTCAGGAAGCCAGCGAATGCGTGAAAGCCCGCGGAGGGGGGATGGAAGAATCCCCCGGAGGGAGATATAGAAAGACACTTACGTGTTCATGTAGTCGAAAAACGAGCGTAGGCTGAAGGAATCGATGGAACTTTTGCAAACCTCCAGCTTCGAGAGGGGATAGTAATGCATGTAGGTGACACACATCTCCTCGTGTATTCCGAACCCACCGAGAGTGATGTCCTTTCTATCAACTGTGTTGTACCGGCAAGTGATCGTGACTGCATCTCCCTGAGAGTGGAAAACATGGATAGTTCCAACGAGAGTCGGAATCGAAGACCTCGGGGTTTCGTTCGGAGCCTTTGTAGATCGGCCGCTCCGAAGCTCGATAAAGGAAAAAATTACCGGTAGAACGTTGACTTCTCGCGGCAACCTGCGGATTTCTTGGAAGTGAGTGGAAAAGTGATTGTCTCTCGCGATTTCGCCGAGAGACGCTCCTCCTCTTGAGTGTTCGACCCATACAGCGACTCCGGCTAGATGGGTGTGGAGCTGGGCAGCTACGATGTTGATGCCGTTTGGTGGAAGACCCTGCAATAAAAAGCTCCTAGTCGACGATGTCCTCCATTTCTTGAGACAATAGGTGGGCTGAGGGTTCCCATGTTCGGAGGAGGAGTCGAAACATCACTCCTAATCTCACCGCTCGAGTGCATTCGGAGATGCAGTAACCCTTCAAATCGAACTTGGGTTGTCCCGGCGGCACGGCCATTTTGTCCGTGTACTCCAGGCCTACTTCGAGGATCCCGATATCGTGCTGTCGCAGACGATCCGTATAATGGATCTGCACTCCGGAGCTGTCGATGATATCTGCGACGCAGGAGAAATGCGATCAGCGACCAATTGCCAATCGAAACCCGGTGAATGATTCCGCGTCTGGCGCGAGCAGTCAAAAGAGCGCAAGTATCCCCTAGCAGCCTCCCAGCTCCTCGTCGAAGATTGATTCCTGATCGACGAGGCCGGGCTAACTTTGAAGTCAGCCTCTTACCAGATCTGAGCTCCGGGTTGTTGAAATGAACCTCCAACATAACGAATGAGGAATAATTCCTCCCCCCAGTCGGGAGGCCGGCAACTTTTGGATATCGCAACGGCTGCAATAGGGAAAAGCTTCCGCATTATTTAAGACGACACACTGATCCAGAGACCGTTGGCGCTCTCTCGACCATGTTCGACACAAAGGCTAATCTTATGATCTCGACAGCGAGCTCCGCTTCGCTGGGCTTCGCTTTTTTGGGCTCACCGGCGCACCCATGGCCCACGCGGCCACGACGTGTTTGCATTTCCCCAAGATCTGGGGCCTCTGCGGACTGTAGCAGTCGTCGTTCCAATCGGGGAGTACCTCCCGCACGTCCACTTCACAGTGAAAGAGTTCCATATGGTGAACGACGCCTTCGCTGTCGGGTGAGATCACAGCCTCATACTGAACGATATGCTGCTTCCGACGGAATTCCGGCGGGAACCGGAACATTTTACACCAGTACGTGGTTTCGCGTTTCGGTACAGCGACCTGGAACGGAAGATCTCGGGCTAATCGCCCAGGCTTGTAGGGCTAGGAGGGACTGCCCTTGCGATGGAATCCGCTGAAGAATGGAATCAAACCCACTTGATCGTTGAGGAATGCGTAGGTCTTCACGTCCTCTGGCAACGGCTCTTCCTCGTCGCCAACCGTCGGTTTGAGTATGGTCGTTCGTTGGAAACCTTTGTGGACCGCCCTGGTGATTCTGAGTCCGTCCGCTCTTTTCAGCGGTCCAGGTCCAGACGCGAAGACCACATGGACCGTTCCTTGCTCGATCTTATAATCCTTGTCATCACACGTGTCAAAACTTCTCGAGAACAGGAATCTGAAAAATCATGACCCGTACTCCTTCGATGGAATTTCTTTGTGGGGCTCTCCAGCCGAGAATTACAAAACAATTACAATTACAGAACCACCTATCACCGGAATTATCACGTAAGTATGTATATATTCGCGGGATCATCACGCAACCAAGATCTCAAGACCGACCTCAGAGAAGAACCTTTGCGTTTCAGCGAGTCGAGACGACAATGTTGTTGTTCCTCGACGTAAAGGAATCCTTCCGAGTTTGTATGACCATCCTGAAACAAGGGAATGTCAACTGAGGTTTCCGAAGATTTTCCTCGACATTTTCTCCTCCCCGATTCCGCTGAGGTATTTTGCTCTGAAAACACAGTGAATGGTTCCAATAGTGTTTGGTAGTTTGTCTGTGGTATACTGGCGGCTGTCTCCGCGCCCATCGGCCGCGCCCGCTCACGAGCGACCTGCTCGAACCCATGAGGATAATTCCTTAATCTAATGCCGCCTGACAGACGTTTGGACCGCGGAGCTCTGACGTGAACGGTAATCGGTCATCCCAAGCCTCATCGAGTCAGTGAGCTCCCTTGATTGTCGAGCATCCCCCGCACGTTCCATTGCAGCTCTCATAAAGTGATGACATCGATCAGGAAGCCTGAACCGTTGTGCAGGGGAAATGGAAGCAGCGCGAGGAATTTAATATCTGCTCTCTGAATGGCGCTCACGAAGAAGGAGTTTCTCGCCGTCCGCCATCCTTTCCCCCCGTTATCTCGCAGCGGGAATGTCGTATGAACCCTCCTGATGAACGCCGGTGATCTGCGGGAGTTCAGCGAGATTCCTTCTTCCATGCTTGGGCGCAAAGGGTAATTCGTGACAGGGCCTCGCGTCGTGTCTCTGAGAGTCACAGCTCTTCGCCTAGGTTCCGTCCGTAAAGCCCCGGGCGAGGTCCTGGAGATTCCGCTCGGACATCGGAGGTTCTCAATGATGAGCCCTGTTTCCGTTTCCGCAAAGAACATCGAAGAACTCATCTGGGTTAACCATAAAAGAAAGTCCTTCCTCCGTCGGAAATTCTCGAGACTCACAGCGAAGAGTCTGCTTTCCCAAGTAGAGGAGCACGACTCTGGGAGTCGTTGACAATTGTTGACAGCTTCAACGCCTTCTACGCGAGGCGGAAGATGTGAGAAGGAAGAATTTGCATAATTATTGACGAAAGTCTCTCGACTGTCGGCTGCTCGGCATCCCACACTCAAAATCGTCAGGGAGGTTTATCCAGGACCTCCGAATGCTTCCTCGACTTATTCGCATCTTTTTCCGCGCGCGTTCTCGATAAAAGGTGCACATATGTACATCGAAGCTGCCCGAGGAAGAGGTCGTCGTGGTGGAATAAAATCCGTTCGATCACGCTGAGACTTCCGCATTCCCTCATCGAAAAAAACATTTCCCCTGTGGATTGCTTTGAGCTCTCGCTCCTTCACTCGTTACGCTTGATTCGGGGAATTTTCCCGAGGAAACCAATTTCGAGCTTTTCTTACCTCAAAATGATGATCGCCTTTCCTGTCTACCCAGAGAATGCAGAAATCGGCACCCGACAAGTTGCCTCTGTCGGAGAAGCCGAAAGCGAACCAGCTACTCGGATGCAGTTGGAGTTTCAGTTCGAAAGTGACCATTTTAGCTGAATGGTCCACCTGCCAGAACAGATTGAAGTTTCCGACGGAATCCAGCTGCAGGGATGATACGGGGGACGTCTGTCCATCGTCGTCGCTGGGTCCCGGAGGCTTTCGCGGCAGCCCTGCGAGGATTCGCGATAGAATGAATGGGATTCCGATCTCCACAATATGTCGTGTCTACAGTGTCTCAGCCGAGTTCCGAAAGAAACAGTCCCCAATCGACGGAAGAATCGTCGAGCGATTTCCAGGGAATTCAGCGACTACAGGCGGCAACGGAATCTACGCCGCGAAACATTGATCAGAGGCTTTAGTCGAGCGCACCAGGACAGACTTACCCCAGGCCGTGGCCCAGAGGCCGAGCACGAGAAGACTTCTCAAACACAGCATAAATGACTGAGCTTCAACGCCGTACATCGGGACAGCCGAAGTTCCACGAAGAGTTTTCCCTTTCCACGCCTCTTCCTCTTCGAAAGGAAGACTTCGTTGTGGAGTCGGAACCCTGTGCGTTCTAATGAATGGCGCCCCTACGCGCATTCTATGCGTAGACAGATCGTTCAGGCGTTTTCTCCTCGCGTTCACACTGGTGTTAACATGGATCCATGCTGAATCGAAAATAAAACTCCTTTGTCGGCTTCGATCATATTCAGAAACACGGCTTCATATGCGATACATGCCGCCCTCGGGAAGATATCAGATATCATTGAGGAGAATGACTCCTTCCGACGTCCGTCGAGGGGTTGACGAGGGGAATAGGTCTTGTATAAGGAGCTTAGGCACCGGATGAGCTCGTGCTCATCTACTCGTTCCTGTGAGTTGCGACGCAGGAAGTCAGAATTCGCTTGTCGCAGCAGTGAAGCCGGTAATCCCCGCTGTTGCCGGTGATCCTCGGGCATTATTAACCGATCACAGCGTCGGGCTTTTTCCCTGCCCGTAGGACAACAATGGCTGCCGTAATGAACCGGGCTAATGAGAAATCCTCCTGAGGCTGCGAACGCCTGTCGCTTCTGCGAACGAGCTACCGGCATTTTAGCGGCTTGCGGAGCTTCGGCGAACTTTCGTTGCCGAGCAGTTTCCTTCCGACATCACGGAAGCTCCAGGCCACGCTCGCATGAGCGTTGGAGGGGCAGCATATTCTCGAACCACGAAAGACGAAAAAAACAGGTGCTGTATAATCAGAGCAATGTATTAATTGAAGCGGGGAGAGCCTCATTCCAGGACGACTATTGTACATGTCGGAGGGACCTGGGCTTTACAATCACATAAATTTTCATTTATTCATGTCTCAACGCTCAGATCGACAGATCAACAGCGGCTATGAGCCTTTTCGCCGGAAAGGATCTCTAACTCAATGGGAGGGGTCTCAGTTTTATGGTACAGGTTCCTCGGTACTCTAAAACTAACACGCTGACGAGGTTCCGTAGCGGGTCGGAGACAACTGACATTTATTGATTCATTCTTCTAAGACCAGAGGACGCTATCGACTCTTCGAATCCATACAAACAGTCTCCATCATCCTGGGAGCTTCACGCCATGCTCGCTTCCGCCCGCACCAATTTGGCGTTGACGGCCGCTGGTAGCCGGTAAGGGACCTGCGAAAAGAATGATGTCGTTTGATAATCGACTCCAATTGATTCGATTCGCTTCAGCACGATTGATATCGCCTCCCAGGAGATTTCTTCGCTTTCGGGCTCTGTAGCGGGACCCGGAACGAGACCGCGACTCGAACCACTTACCATTCCGGCGTATTTGATGATGGCATTCGCTTGAGATTTTATGAGTTCAAGTTTCTTCTCCGAGCCCCCTGTAAGTGATTCCCGGTTATTGGCGAACTTTCAGGAATCGGAGTTCTTTCTGCCAACCCTCCGGAATCCCCCGGACATAATGGAATCATCTGATGTGCTCCGCCCAAAGAGTCTCAGAGACGAACTTTCAGGACCCGGAATCCAGAATACAACTGCGGTCGAATTGGAGATAGGAGAGAAAAGCCTTACCTCCTAAAAGTGGAATCAGACTCAGAGCTGTCGTCTTAGGACGTCTGATGGTCTTGTACTGTTCGGTGAGTATGTTCATGACAGTGACGAGGACGTCGGGAATAACCTTAAACAAATGCATCAGCCGATCGAAATATTAGTATGATGATGAAGAAAATGCCGAAGCGCCCTCTCGGGTGCTCATTGTCATCGTGATGAAATCGACCACAGACGTTCATACCGCCGGATATCATTCGATCGATCCATCCACTCTTCGAGGCAGTTATCCTCAGGATTACTCACCCGACGGACTTGCTCACTGAAACCGCAGAACGTATCCACCATGGTGTCGACCTCGTCCGTAGAGAGCGGGACTATCCGAAGTCTACGGAGGAGGTCCAGAGCCTCTTCATTCTTCTCCAAATAGTAGAAATCGTAGAAAGTCATGAGATCGATCAATAAGAGCAAACAGGGGGTTGATTGACTGCAAAGAAGAGAAATGTTCCCCATTTAGCGAGGTATGGACGGTTTGGAGGTGCCGGGTACCGCTCATTCTCAGTGAAACCCGAGCGGGGGAGATCGGGGATCGCCCAGGGGAGATTACTCACAATGTGGCGAGCTGGGTCGCCATTTTCTGCAGTTGGCTACGTTTACTGCCTTCCGGGCCAGCCTGTGTCACCTGCGGAATCATAGGAAGAGTTTCGCATGAGTATACGGTACTCATTCGCGTGCTCCGCAAACTGCACACGTACATCAGTTAGATTGGGAATGAGACCCTCCCGTGAGAAGGAATAATCTGGAGAGTTTCATCGATGCTCACCTGCAACGCCAGGAGTTTCGTGAGAAGTTCCACACATCTATCTTTCTGTCCACCGAGATCGTACAGTCCGACAGCCTCTTCGTTGAGACCTCGGGCCTCAGCCGCTTCCGCAACAATCGTCACGATTTCCCTCCGATCCTGGACGAATTTGTCCAACGCGCCTCTCTGGATGCCACCGTCGGCATTCCGCTTGCCTATGAGAAGAGCAACATTGCATTCGTTGGATGATCACCGCCGATTATTACCACAGTACGGAACATACAACAAAATCAATGCTGTGTGTGAGTGCACGGAATCCTCCATCTAGGAATCTAGGGTGTCCCAAGCTTACCGAGCAGTTTAGTGAACTCTTTGGTGTCTAAGACGAGTTCTTTGACGCACTGAATCCAGACGGATTCGTATTTGTCCTTCAAGGTGAAATAGTATTCGAGAGCGAGTTCCGGCTCATCGTGCTCGAAACGAAGAGTGTAAGAAGTGATGAGGCGAGGGAAATTGAGATATCTGTGGAAGGGAGACCTCACGTTCGAAAGCTACCCCTTTACAAAAAATTGCGGAGCACTCATCCTCCACGTGAATCAGCGGTATGGCAATCGAGGAAAAGAAACTCACGATCCCGAATCGTCTTTCACAAGGAGAGGATCTTGTCCATTCTTGGCGTGCTTTATCAATCCGAGCTGGCTCAAGGCAACGGCAATATGGACGGCATGACACTGCAATCATTGATAATTATTAGGCCGAAGGCAAGAGACGGCTAACGCCCTCCGATTTTCTCTCGCGAGCAATCCAAAGGGATGGGGCCGATCACCGGGGCAACGCACCTTGTGCGGGTCGAACCGGTATAAAAATTCGATGGCGAGTTCGAACTGGGCTGACAGAAGCAGGACATACGCATACTGGATTGGCCTTTGGTAAGCATCGAAATACGCCTGTGAAAGTAAGAGTCCCTCGTGAACACTCGAAAAAAAAACCTTTGGAATATGCGACATCGTTTGAACGGCTGAATCAGTGACGTACTTCACCGTATTCCTCGGAGAGGAGGCTCTGAAGCTCCCGCAGCGTGATCGTGTTGCTGTCGCGCGGCATTGCGGTCGACGAGATAACTTGACAGAGTTTTATCCAGAGATAATCTTCGATTTCCGATGCTACAGCACTACGGTCCATTGGAACCTCACACCCAGCAAGAACGCCGAACACTACACGTTGATAAGGATTCGACGCTCCCCCGCTAAGATCGCGGGCAAATCTGCGAAAGATTCACACGAGGTTTCGAACATATCTCTTTCGACGTAAATTGGCCCATCTCAGAGCGTAGGAGACATAAACATCGAAAGATGGTCGCTCTTACTTGAGACGAAGCGCTTTGACGCTGTCATCACTCAACCGGTGATGAGAGTCTCGTTGGCACTCCTCGAACTTTCCAGCCAAATCGAACATCGACGACTTCATTGCGATTTCTCGAGCGCATGCGAAATCGCCACACCGGAGCGCGTGGTAGATCATGGCCCACGCGGGATGTCCATCGACCATGGGCTCTCCCGGATGAGCTGCATCGGACGAAGACGATGGTTAGCGTCCCGTCGATTCGAAGACGAAAAAACAATGTGGTGATGGATATGCCATGATGGATACCGCATGAATAATGATGAAAACTTCGCGCAAGACAAGCCCTCGGGCTTCTCGCGAGTCGTCACGTGGTGATCAACGTTTGTTGATACTTGATATCTCGTATATATCGGACATAGCGGTATTCCATCAAAGTAGAGGTTCAAACACCACTGCGAGAGGTCCATTGACAGGACCCTTCTCTAAAGGCTCTGCGCCGAGGTGACGTCGGCGAAACTCACTTGGCGGGACGGGTTTTACGTTGAGGTAAGCGCGAATCAGATGAGCAACACCAGGAGCGCCTCCAAGGAAAGCTTTGTTCAAGTTGCCATGAACGGTGGCGCGGAGGTCGGTCAAGTGTTTCGTTTCGAGGAACCGTCTCGCACCCACGACAAGCGCGAGTCTGTCGTCGTCATCGGAATTATATCGTTTCTGCATAGATTGCAGCAACTGCCAGAGCGAAGCGACGTCCCGCAACTCCAGCTGCTCGGCCACATGCGACATGTTCTTCACGATCGCCAATGAATCTAGGCTTCCCGAAATCAGGGCGGTGTTGTGATCTGTGAGAGCTTTTGAGTACTGGAGTTCTTCGGGGGAGAGTCGGGCTCTGACTGGGGCTCCGGACACAGATAGGAGAGAAGCGTCCCGGGGTCTGTAGCTGGTGGAATTGTTCAATGTGAAATTCAATGTGTCAATGAAGCTCTGCTGTCGCTGCTCAGCAGTGGTATCGGCACAGTGCTCGAGACAGGCGACGATTTTCCGTTTCTCGCTCTCCCATCTGAAAAACGCGGAGCATCGGATGAGTTTTCCGCGAAAATATTTCGATGTTGTCTGTTGATTAATCTCGCTCATTCTCCTCGGGTATCGGATACGCATCGAATTCTTGATGAGTAAACAATAACCTTTCTTTCTGGGCTTGAATTACGAAGGTGTCGACTTCCTCTTGAGTCGTTTTCGCGGTATCCGCAATGACGGCGAGTAGGCTGGTCTGTCGTTCGTTCTTCAGGAAACCCTCAATATCGGTTGGCTGCAAAAACGATCGCCCCTCATTCAATCGTCGGAAACGTCTTGAAATGACTGCTGAGACGCTCGATGGGTTTCTCTCCGCGGTCAATCGTAGCTCCACTCACCTGAATAGTTTCCAGAGGACCGAAAGCGATCGAGGAGGGCAGACCTTCGACTCGCTGAGAAAGTTTGGGTAGATCGACTCCTCGAGAGCCGAGAAGGATGGAGGCGTGGACATCCGCTTGTTCGCGGCTTGGGGCGTCCTCCGAAACACGGTTCCGCAGCTGTTCACCTGGGGATTCATATGCGAGGGGAAACCTCAGAGCTCAGCGTGAAAAAAAGGAGTCATCGACGACGATCAAGGACAGGATTCAAACTCGCGGACTCTCAAGCATCTGGGCGCCGGAGTTGAGGAAAAACTGAAACTCACCCTCGGCAAGCAGCTGGGGAATGTTCCGAACCACTCGTGGGAGATCCTGATCTGCATGAATTTTCGCCACGAGAACCTCAGCACCCTGGAGAATATCTTGAATCGACGAGGCGTTCATTTTGAAGGCTGCCGCCTCGAAGGAAGATTTCTTTCCCGTGTCAAAAGTGGCCGCACGGAGGGTCTTTCCTCTAGGCTGACTTTTCGTCTGTCACTGGACCCTGTGAAAAATCATGGATTCGTGGCTAAGATGACGAGGACGAGGGAATCTCACGGAGAGCACTCCTGCCTTGATCGATTCGAAACGGGAGGTGTTCAGCAGATTCGAACGGTTTCGTCCAAGTTCCGGCTCAAATATTGGCTCGAACAGGATTGCGAGCGCAAGCCGCGCCGTTTACGAAATTGATGAACGCTTCAACGATACTCCGACACCGCAATAGGCGGAAAGCCGTAGAAATTCCAGTCCGGTCACCCACCGCGGCGTTATCTGTATTGAATGAGAATGAGCTCCGGAGGAAGTTTTCCAACACGCGGACTCTCGAATATTTTCAACAGGCGCTGCCGGGTGCATCCGTTCCTGTTGGCGCGAATGCTGACTGTGATCCCAGCGCCCCTGTGATCGAGAGGCGGGCGGACGAGCATACCAGTTTCGACAGCCGCATGTGACCCCTCATATCCTCATATGACGTAGGTCCCTCGTATGAGGTTGGGAGAAACAGAAGACATGCATCCTCGATTTCTGTCCGCCTTTCCCAGACATTTCATAAACTTGCTATCTAGCTAATGAGGAATCCCCCCTGTAGAATAAAAGCGTAAGCGCTTCGTTTGTGAGCCGTTTTTCGGCTCTTTCTCCTCGCCAACTTCGGCGCACATGTAGTCTGGCGGTTGCAGAATGATCCTCCGCTGTGTGCAAGTTGATGTTTTTTTTCTTATCCGATGCCCCCCCCGCCCACTGATTGTCAAAAACCCCCATACTTGACCTCGGAAATCATGTGGTACTATGTGGTACTATGGTACGCTTTGCTCCGATTCAGGCGGCTCCGGTGGCGCGACAAACCGCCGCAATCGCTTTCGTTCTCGCTGATGAGTCTTTCTGGCCCGATTCCGAGAGAATGTCCCCAGAATGTTCTCATTTCCCCCTCCCCGTCTACTGATTGTCGAAAACCCCTTCTTTTTGCCGACACTCTTGTGGTACCCTGTGGTACTTAGGTGGGTACGCTGTGCTCCGATTGTGGTTCGAAAGGCACAAAGGGTCTCGCAGGAGATGTGCCCCTTTCTGGAAATCGCTTCGGCGACCAACTTCAGAGAGCTGTATCTCCGGAACGGTTGGAGGCGCGTTGGAAAGCTGAGTCGGAGAGCTTTCATTTGCGCTAGACAGATCGGAAAAATGATTACTCGGGACGGAGACATATGACGATTTTTGTATATCGAAAACTATATCGACAAAATCGCTGATTTTTCTTCTGCGGACTATTTTCCGCGATCACGGCGCAACTCGAAGCGAGGTTCGTTCCAGTGTCGATCAGAATCCACCGGAAACGAACCCTATGTGTGAGTTTGAAGCCACAGAGCTGCAGAGGGGCCGAGCCTTGCGAGGTGCCCAAGGAATTCGACAGACAAGAGGGAGGGCACGCGACGTCGATCATTATCCTACTCAAGTTCATTCCTTAGGCAGAATGGACAGCCAATGCTCCGCATGCATGGCCGCCCATTTCCAAGGGGAGAGAACGATGCCCGAACACCTTCGGTCTACTCCGTAAAATACTCAATGATGCCAATCCTTATGCACAAGCCTTCAAGCTCATGGCTCAAGTCGCTGATGAAGAAGCGGAGAGGGCCCAACGGGATGGTTGTCCTGGGAGACCAGTGCGGATGGTTTCCCACCAGAGCGAGCATGATGACCAACGGCGCTACAGTGCGGCAACTGCAAACGAAGTTGCCGTGGTTTACGTGGGTGATGAAGAGGACATTCCTGGGGAAAGGTTGTTGGTCGTTCAGGAAAGTACCGGCAATCTCCGAATTATAAGTTACTTAGACGAACTCTGTGATCCGCTTCCGTATCCCTTATTTTTTCCTTCTTGAGGTGAGGGGTGGCACCCTCAAATGGAACGACGAGAACCGACTTCATCTCGGCGCTGTAGGGTCAGCCAGAAGGAGTATTATTCCTATTTGCTCTTTACTCGGGATGGTCTCTTCAATCCTCTTCATTACGCGGGAAGACTCTCGCAGCAGTTTGTCGTTGACAGTTGGTTGAAGATTGAAATGAATCGCCTCAATTATATTCGTCAGAATCAACGAGAACTACGACTGGATACAGTACGGGGCCTCCAAGACTATATGTTGAGCGACTCCGATGACTCTGTTCAGCCCGGACGGCGAATTGTCCTAGCCGCAACGTTCAATGGAGGTCCGAGATAACTAACTTTAAGCATTCGACGATATTTTCTGTTTGCAATGCTTCTTGAGGCCCGGATTCTGCGTGGCTCATGCCTGCGTGGAGTCTGGCGCCTGATTCCTCATTCCTCGCTTCTTGAAGATTATACAGATTTTTTTCGAGGTCATTCCGGATTGATTTCGGCCGTTCCCGATTTAGGAATCAGAGTAAATATTCGAAAATGCAACGAATTTCGCCCTTGAGATGGCTCAGTCGATCGAGCATCGCGCTCTACCCCTAAGAGAGATGCTTGCTCGTGTTTCCCAGATCCGGATTGTTCCAATGAGCTCGGCCAGGGTCTCCCCATGTGCGCAGTCCAACGGGTGGTATGGGGAAGAGAACGCCTTCGGAAGTTTGGAATTTGTGGACGAGTGCTACGATTGTGCGGAGTCGAGGCAGAAAGCCGAGGCAGCTTACAATTAGCGGAGAATCTTCTACATAGACCTTGTACGGCATCACGTGATGAGCTTCCTCAGTTTCTGAGCTAGGAGAACAGTAGACACGAGCTGCGCTTTCTGTCCAGGATACCACCACTGCCGCAGTCGTCTATGAAACGGACGGTCCAGGGCAAAGGCAATATTGTGTGACCTCCATCATTGTCTGATGGCGTCATCTATTGCAGATGATTAAGAGGAATTTCGAACTTCTGCGTCTACTTGGAAGCCTCGGGAATATATCGCTGATGTTTTCACTCTTAGTCGCTTTCACGGGGAGCGCAGCACTCGCTTGCGAATGCAGACACCGATCTCGAGGACTGTCGAGTACTGGTCAACTCTTTCCAGTCTAGAACTTACGGAGGGGCTCCGGCATCCAATCAGGCTAGTGACGGGAATTATTGATTCATCGGAGCGATTCTTGATAAATCGTGGAAGCATCGGGGAACTCGACTGAAACGATCGCGCTTCCATCCACAGATACGCTTACTGCTCAGTCAAATGGAAGAGAAAGTGCAAATTACGGCATGGAGAGTTTATAAACTCGAGCCTACGCTTACTTCGAGGCCTTAGGAGCTCGGACTAGGGGTGAGACGGGCTCGGAAACGTGCGTTGTGAAGTGAAAGAATCTCGGACAGTGATCGGGTCGAACCATGAATAGGGAAGAGGACTTCCTGTTCCTTCTCTCATGCTGATCTTTCTTTCCAGCTGTTGAGGAATTCCGACCGATATTCCACCTCCTACTTCACTAATACCTAGCTCAACTCATCCATCTAATGCATTGATAAAAAAATTATTGATCCGCTTCGAGATTATTTCAGATGCACGAGCGCACGATCTCTAGTTCGTCGAATTCCTGTTCGATTCCTGCGTTTATCCTCCATTCAACGCGATCGTCTTTGTCCACACTGCACAAATCGGTGATCAATTGGAGTGTGCCTGGCATGAGCTCTCCCACATCCTCTCCCGGGTCATTTGCCAGCCACAATATGATATGAGCATGGGGACTCCCTCGATGTTGGAACTCAATCCGGAGAAAATAATCGAGAACGCGATGGCGACCGAAAGGATTGTACGATTGTTTCGTGGCTAATATGGTCATGATTGCATGAACAATCTTATGGAAATATATGCAACACGTTACGGGATCTTCGGCAACGAGGTACGCTCGCTGGTAGCTGTTAAGCTTAACAAGGACATCGCCCAGATCGAGATCGGAGTCAGATTGAAATTCACCAGAAAGACGGTGTCATATGCGGAGTAAATGCGGCCATCGAGTTTCATTCGCACTCAAAGTGAGGAATGCAGTCGGTTTCCCGAGTTGACGTATCATCGCGAATAAATCTCTTTTCCTGTTCGACCAATATTGAACGGAACTAGGCATCGTTCTGAGAAAGGCTTGGTTCGTTTCGATCAACCGTTGGACGGAATCACGACCCTCGATCATTTTGCGAGTCACACATTCTGTGGGTCTCAAACACCGGTACATATTTTGTATGCCAAACTTTGAAACAATTGTTACACAGTTTGGAAACGCTAGTGTCCTCATCGGTGAAAGTATCACTCAGGGAATTCGCCATCCTGTAACTTACCGATTTCAGATCCCCCATGAACCAGAGTCGATCACATACATCACACGCATGTCCGAACTCATTTTCAAGAAACATCTTCTTGAAACGGTCGCTGGCACGTCTCCAGGCGCTTGCGTAACCCGCACCCCTGTGTGTTCTATCAACTTGCGTACGTCGGAGCTCGTAAGGAGCCCTTCGTGGGCGCGCTCGATTTGGGCGGAGAACCGTGGTCGAATTGTTATCGGAGGAATTGACTCTCTCTCATTCGAGTCAGGATCTACGGGAATCTCAGCAACATCGCGGTTTTCTACGGCACTTCGAAGACGAGCTCGTCGTGCCCGTGATCGTTCTGTAGATGTTTTCGGCCGTTTCGCGGTACGGTCTGGAGTCTGGATCGGTCCCCCTCTTGAGAACTTCCCGCTTACGCGCCTGGACGCTGCGGGTCTTTGGTCTCATGATCAAATCGATGACCTCAAAAGTTAGACATCCAAGGAACCTCTAGATGAGGAAAGTCGACCCGAAAGATCTCCCGTTTTCCAATCTTTCCTCAGTCGGCCGGTGCAGCGGCATCGCGTATCAACGGAGTTCTAGCGCCGCAAAAAGCCAGGAGATTTCATAGGGAGCATGGACCCTGGAAAAGTGGAATGACCGAATATCTGACGCCGGAATCGGGATCAAGCTGCCACGAATCACCTCTAG